AAATTTGGAAATTTGGGGATTTGGGAATTTGGGAATTTGGGAATTTGATAATTTAGGATTTGGGGTGGTGAAAATCTAATAATCTGGAAATTTAGTCATTTAGGAACATGGGATTTTTGAAATTTGTGGATTCAGAAATTTGATCATTTAGGAATTTAGGGACTTAGAAATTTGGAAATTTGGGAATTTAATAATTTAGAATTTGGGCAGATAGAAATCTGATGATTTGGAAATTTGGTCATTTAGGAATTTGAGAATTTAGATATTTCAGGAATTGGAAATTTGATAATTTAGAAATTTGATAATATAATATAGATATTATAGAATTTAAAGATTTGACAATTTAGAAATTTGAAGAAATTTTGTAAGTTAAAAGTGTAGAAATTTGTAAATTTCTAACTTCTGATGTGGAGTTTAGCTCAATGTTAGATGTCAAACTCATTTCAGTCTTTTTTTATTACACCAATGATACTATCGCAGAAAATTTCTTTTTTAGAAATCAAGCTTCTCAAAATACATATTGAAATTTTATCATAATATTGAATTTATAAACGAATATAATTTCACAAGTACGTGTCAAAACACACTATATCTACACGTGTTGAATATCTAAAATATAGGAATGAAATTTGAATTTCGTATAAATCGAATTCTATATACATATGTATATCAAATTGTATATGTAATAATGAACACAGACCGAAATTCAAACAATTCAATTGTCAATATTAAAATATTATTAACAAACAACAAAAGACAGTTGACATTACATCACAGTACATTATGAATCACCTGAGGTCGTCATGAGATGGTATTGTTTCTTTTTATTTATAAAAATGAAGTTCATCATTCTGACGTTAAAGTGTCATCTATCAGTTTTATTCCATTCATAGACACGCGTTTTTGTTTCTCTTTCAGTTGTCATATGATAGAATAAATTACGTTTTTCTTTGGAATTACGTCTTACGGAAAAATATTTGATTGCTGTCGTTTGATATGAATCATATGTAGATTCCAATGAATCGACAAAATCGATTTTTCCAAACAAAACTGAGCAAATACGTACTTTTAACGATGAACTTTGCACGTCCGTGTAAATATGTCCAACCTGTATTTTAGAACGGAAACTGGATGCATTCCAACCACCGAAAGCAGGTTCGCAGTGAATTCAATCTAATTCTTTTTAACTCAGATACAAAATATGAGGATATTCGCAGGGAGGAACCGTTGCTCTAAAACTATTCCTATATACTACCTATTCGTTCAAACGTAAGTATTTTCGTTTTCATTTTTACTTTTTAAAAATTACTCCAAAATTTGCTACTTTGTGTGATCTCTTCCTTAGAGATTAACTAAAAACTCCTTATTTACATTTATGTTAGAATGTTATTATACAATTATGTAGTCAACTCGAACACAAATATTTTCATCGAAATTTCAATAAATTTTTGTTGATTCGTATTTTATAACTTTTTTGTGTATCATTTTAAGGTTAAAAGAATTATACATTGTTTACATGTAACCTCTATTTCCTCTATCAAATAATTCCGATATCTTTTATATACATATATATATAAGGAAAGATTCGGTGAAAAATAATCAGATTACCTGTGGGACTGGTTTTTTTTATAACTGTTCATTGCATGGGTGCCTGATACGAGATTCAGGGTACATTTTCTGGCAAGTCTTTTCCTGAATTTGTTAACTGTAAACCGATACATTCCCACGATTGACATATATCGTATAGAAATAATGTAAACCATATTCTTAGAAAACTTTGTTTGTTAACGTTCATTTAATATACATACGACGTAATAGCACGCACGTAATGTGTTATTCAGTTGTAAACTGAGATGTAAATTCAAATGTACAACAAATTTGCTATCAATGATAAATCAAAGATAAAATTGGGCAATTAACGTTGTGAGCTATTGTTATGTGCTTTCAAACATATAAGAATCTGTTTCTATGAAAAGTTACTAGCATTTTGAGTCCCAAACGAGGTTTGAGAAAAGCAGAGGCCACTTTGAAACTTCAGAAACGCGTCCTTGAGACAACATTCCGCCCCATGACTTCATTCTGTTGTACCTTCCTTCGATGCATTTATCTATGTAATTAACAAAGTAATTAAAGGTGTCGGAATTAAGTGAGACATGGTTGGTACTGATTACAATGCGAAAATTACTAGCTTTTTAGCATACACGGTACGAAAAATTCTTTATTAAAATAGTAGAAAATTAATAATTTTTCTATGTACCTTAAACAACAAAATATTTGAAATCGAACAATATTAGAAATTTTATAGACTACGTGAAATCACAAGAATTCCCAAATTTCTAAATCATTACATTTCCATCTTCCCAAATTTCCAAAAAGTCAAATCCTAAATTATCAAATTTCCAAATTCCCAAATTTCTAACTCGCCAAATTTCTAAATAACAAAATTTCTGAATCCCCAAATTCCTAAATGACCAAATTTCCAAATACCCAAATTCTAAATTATCAAATTTCCAAATTCCTAAATTACTAAATCCCCGAGTTCCATAATGTCCAAATTTCTAAACTCTGAAATTCCTCAATGACCTAATTACCAAATCATCAGATTTCCATCTCCCCAAATTTCCAAAGGTCCAAATGAAACGATATAAAATTAATAACTTTACCCACTGACGAAATTCTTGAACAAAATGCAATGAACCATCTTTTACATGTACAAACCAGCAATTAATTGCAAAACTCATAGATTTCGACAAAATACGCGACATTCAAAGGGTTAATATTTTATTAACACGAACAATAATTACTTCGAAGAACTGTGAAGTCACTGAACTCATCAGACGTCTTCGACTCCTTTTGTACGGTCTCCATACCTTTTTCCTCCCATCTTTCTTTCCGTTCTTTTTCTTCTCGGTCTTCACGCTTCTTTCTGTAGATTACACTCTCGTTCGCGTCTTCGAAAGTGCATAGTACAATTTTGCCGTTATTCTTCAAATCCGTGATGATCCATTCATAGTACCTGAAAAATACAAAATACCTTTATCAACCACGCCGTTACGAATATGGCGAATACTGTTGCACCGGTTTTAATCGACACACCTTGTTACAGAGTCCTTGGTTGCGTCCAATTGCCCAAAAAAAGACTGGAGAACCTTTCCGAACTTGTACTTTCAATGACGTCCTGTATCAGGTTCAAAAACCTAGTTATTATACTCCAAAAGCGATTCGTTCGAACAATGATACAAGGTCATTTTTAATAGTATGCATTGAACAACTCGATATGATAACAAGCAATTTTTCAAGATGTCTTCCGTGATTGATATCAATTAATTAAAATTCATTTATTCTTATTTATTCGTATAAACTTACCGAAATTATCCGACGATTCCGAAGATGCGTACAACACTGATTAATGAGCTAGAAATACAAATATGAAATATGTTTTTGGTACTTTGCCTGATGACGTCCACAGGTTTTTACCAGAAAACGCGTCACATGTGCTTGAAAATGTCACGAAGGATCTACGCGGAGGATATTGTTTTGATATAATTCGTATGCAAGGACATTCCGAGCAGGGAATAATGACGTATGAAATCGATAAGACAAACGTCGTTTTTCCCATTTTATCCGTATTTTCCGTAGTTGACATTTTATCCTTTATAGATTAACATGTTCGTAGATCGGATTATATTTTAGCGTGTTTAAGATACGCAACAAATCGGCTGTCAGATTTCTGACAGAGGTATCATAATTCTCATATAATGACGTTCGGAGAGAAAAAAATTCATTAATACTTAATGTCGCGATGGCTGCGTGTGTAATAGAATCTATGATTCTAGTAATTTTATTCCCTTTTTTGTCTCAACAACTAGTATTAATTCTGCACGATTTTTCTGTGTCTCAGAAGAATCTATTAATAGAATTACATTTGAGTCTGTAACAGATAACACGCTTTACAGAACTCATGGATTTAATATTTTAAAGATCTATGTAATGATAAGATGATACAAGATTATAATAAAATAATGATGCTATAACAGAATATACTGCAATATATTAGACGTAAAGTAGAGTAAAATTATTTTATAATATCTATACACCTAGTTCTTATTTCCTTCAGATAAATTCGCCACCATTTTATAATTAACACTCCGAATGTTAAAACTGTAATAAACAGATGATTCATTAAAAGAAGGTAAACGGAGTCAAAATATCACACCTGAGTCATGTGGCACGATAATTTCAGTAAGTACCTCATATTTGTGTAAGTATGTTTTCAATATTAAAGTGATTCTAGTTATTTATAGTATGTTGGTAACATGCAACGATCTGTTATCTTGCCACTCAGGCAAGGAAACACCATCCTTTCATATATTGTTTTATATGTTTAAATTTTCTGTCGTTCTGAGACTCGATCGACTTCACTGATAAACAATTATTTTTTTTCTGTTGTTGCCGGTCCCGTTTGCAATCCGAGCTACCTTTCATTTCACGTTTATGCAATGATGTTGTTCCAGTTGAAAAATACTGTTGCTAGTAAAAGTGATTTTCGTAGCGACAGTAAAAACGGACTGACGTATTGAATCAAGTTGATCGCTTAAATGATTGAATAAAAAGTTGAAGATGTATTTGCTGGTTGTAAATTTATTATATTCATTTATGTATAAGCTGCAAATATTTCTCTTCTCATAAACAGCCCCTTTTCATGTACCGTCACTGCAGTCAGAGTTTGTAACTGCATCCTTGTTTCTGCCACAATATTCTTTGCTTCTAGAAACGCCTGGATAAACTGTTCATATTACGCGGTAAATCACAGAAACTGTTCTAAAGTTTCATCAGGCAACGTATTTACAAAAAGTAAAAAGCATTTCTGGAATTAAAATACGTGCGATAAGATAAAGAAATGCTTTCAAATGAAATTCCATTGCTTTTCATTCTCGATTGGATAAAATATACTTATACTTTCTACATTATTTTCTCTGCCTCAACAAAAAACAGAGTGAAGAAAACAGCAAGTAAAAAAGTTTTAATTTAAACTGGTCTAGCTAAGGAGTAAAGTTACTATGTAACGGAAAGAGTTCTTTCACGTGGTTCTCCGAGACTGTGCATTAAATACTTAATTCTTTATCTTTTGCTGCATCTTTTTTCCATCTTATGCCTTAAAGCGTGCATGAAAAATTACGATGGATCCAAAGCGTCAGAATAACCGTGCATTCCATCGTAGTTTTTTTTTATACGTTTTACGTGATCGGTTTTTTTTTGCAAAAAATAGATGTTTGCGCAACTATGCATCGTTGGGGTCAATCGGAAAAAAATTGCGAAGTTCACTACACAATATAATTGACACGAATATTAACTTCTATTTAAATTTCAATTTTTTATCGTGATTTATGATTGCCGCCTATCGAGTTATTGGAGACGGATTTTAATATTAGAAAATTAGATTTAAATATTGTAAAGAAAATTTTGAATATTTTATTCATATTTTCTGTTAAATTATAACGAATTATTTGCTGAGTTTACTATATTACCAGACGCGAATCCACGTGGTTGCGGTCTAGCCAGAAGCTTCTATCACTTTTTTTTGTTTATAAACGATTTACGATCGAGAACTAAAACAAGAAATCTTTACCGTCTACTGTTTGTGCGAAGTTACACGCGTATACGTAATATCGTCGCGAATAATTTAATAATGGTTGAAAACTGTTTGTTGAATAATTTATTTACGTGTGACTATTTTGATGATATATTTATGCTTTTCAGCATTTAATTGAACATTTCATTGGCTGATATGCTTGGAGTTTCATCTGTTGTAATGTTTTGACTACTACAATTGATACTTACAAAGGTTACAAAAATATACGGTTCAAGTTAATCTCAAGGAGATAAAGCTGGAAAAATTATTAGATTAGATTGTTGAAATTTATAGAAGTTCTAGGGAGAAACGAAGAACCGTTTATTCATTGTAATAAGTACTACGTAATTAAACAGGAATGTTATTGAACTTTTTTTACCCCTATCAGAATTATTTATGTCATTATCACCATCGTACATTAATATGCAGTTAATTATAACTGGAGACATGTATAAACATAAGCTTGTATGTATAGTTATCGTTCGAATTGCTTCCGGAAATTTAGTATTTTTAATAAAGGATGAACTACAATGATAAACAAGTATCAATGATTGCTTAAAATAACTGGAAGCGTAAATATGACGCGGTCCATCTGCGATTGGTGGTGTAATAAGGATAGTAAAAATGGTAAGCAAATATGTGTATGATGGTAGACTTCCCTAAGAAGACTATGGATGGAGGACATTCTTTCTTCTACTCTCAACGAGATCTCATCACTACTATATTACTTATATCACTATTATACTTACATTTAGTTCATACGAATTTTTTATTAAAATTTTAAGTCCGAATTCTATTGATACTCGAACGGTTAGACTACCCAAATGTTCACATGTTCGAGAAACTATTCTTTTTATAAAGAATCTAGATTATTCTTACTTTTTCAAATGACTATGTTTTTTTATTTTACAAGTATTTACATGTACTATTGCGTCTGAGTACTCGTAATGTAACTAAAAAAATTGGTGACAGAAAAAAAGAAGTAAAAAATCTACTTTTACTTCGAAAAGTTGTTTTTAAGCGTGGGAATAAAAAGGTAAATGACGCAGAAAGATCTAAAGGTAGCTCGTTGTAAAAAAGATACTATGAAAAATGAATGTTGACCTATCAAGACTACGAATACTAAGTTTCAATGTTTTAGAATTCAATTTCCATGTAAGAATCAACGATAAAAAGACATTTCTTGTGACAGCGACATTTACATCGATTTAACAAAAAAGATATGCGTTGAAAAACATGAAGATCAGAAGTTGTTAACATTATAAGGACAGGTACAAAGTAATTTCTTTTTAATTTCTTAATTCGTTTTCTTTAATTCGAAACGATAATCAATAATCAGTTTTTTGTAATACATATATTAGTTATTAATTACTCTACTGTGGAGGTAAATTAATTTACTTGCAATTTAATTATATCATGATTAACATAATTGATAAATTAATAAACCTGTGTCTTTTATTGAGAGTATTTTTTACAAATCGTCGTGCTATATTGCATTATTAATATTTAAGTTCTTAGCTCTAATTCGCTCAAGTATGCTTATTAAATAATCAAGAGCAACGCGCATGCGAGTTTGCAATTTTCATGCATACATATATTCAAATATAAGCGTGTATACCCAGTGATCTTATTTTGTATTTGGTAGCTTATAATTCATATATATTGCCCACTGGATATATGGCCATGAATTAGTTAGTAAGTATTAGATTGGCTCTGCATTGCTGATCCAAAGAAGACATAACCAATTTAACTGTTCCCGACAAATGAACTCGCCATAAGTTCAGTAAAATTATAGCGAATGCATTATCTATGTGATACGTCGTCAGTGGCTTTCGTTCAGACATATTACATACATAATATGTATATGTATTTAGATGATTACTGATCTACCCTAACCTAAATTAACTGAGATTTGTCATTTGTGAGAAAAAAGCAGATAATTGTTCCAGCAGTTTGTGATATTATTACTCACTATTAAATACCATGTAAAATATTGTTCATGAAGTGACTTTGTTTACTGTTTATTTAATTTGTAATATAGATCATAAATAAGAAGGAATATTTATATAATTTTACATCAGTAAAATGCAGTGATTTTAAACAAGTTACATAAAGGAAGAGAAGAAATTATGTTACATTTTACGTTCTGGTAATATTTCAAAGTTTTATGATATTTATTTACATATCTTTCTTGAAATTTCATTAGCATTATTTATGCTTTAACAAAGTGTAAATTTACTAATAAAAAGAAATGATAAAAATATGTTTGGCAATATTAATTTTATAAAGTTATAAAATGTTTGATTAAATTGTACATAATTTGTAGTCGATATTTTATTACAGGACAGATGTAAAAAAAAATAAAATTGTGTAAAATTTAATTTATTGAAATGATGATGGAGTTGAGTCATAGTTTGACCCTCAATGAGGATGCTCTCAATCAAATCCCAGAGGCCAAACGACCAGTTTTTATATTTGAATGGTTACGATTTTTGGACAAGGTTTTAATTGCTGCACAAAAGGTATTTGTCATATGATTAAATAAGGAGTTCATACGCATATGTTAGTTTCATATGTTGTAATAACGTCAAATTTTTAGAGTGATATTAAAGGATGTCAGCAGAAGCTAGTAGAACAGTTAACTAAACACATGCAAGGAGCACCTGGACCTCCTACACGAAGACTTATTGCAAGATGTCTTGCTACATTATTTAGTGTTGGCGATACATTTTTGCTCTTTGATACTGTCAATAAATGTAATGATATTCTTAGAAATAAGGATGATTCTCCAAGTTTTCTTCCAACAAAGTTGTGAGTACAGATATTTTTTATGTACTACTGTTATGCCATCTCATATATGTAATTTGTAATCATTAACTGTTCACAGAGCTGCTATATGTTGTGTAGGATGTATGTATGAAAAATTAGGAAGAATGATGGGTAGATCCTATGAGGAAACTGTACAGATTTTGATAAAATCTTTACGTTCTGCAGAATCACAAACACGAATAGAGATTATGCATACTTTAGAAAAGGTAATATTTTTAATTTAAAGGAAGTATAATTGTATTTGAAATGTTACATAAATTTTTAATGATTAGGTTTGTGCTGGTATGGGTTCTGCAATTACAAATGTTCATAAGGAAATATATAAAATTTCTAGACATTATCTCACAGACAGAGTGATGGCTGTAAGATGTGCTGCTGCAAAGGTATTTTATTGTTTATTTCACTGCTAGTATTTTATTCTACAATTTTAAATATATTTTCAGTGTCTATTGGAAATGTTAAATCATGCTCCATTTTTATATACTACTGAAATAGAAAGTGTTGCTACACTCTGTTTCCGAGCATTTGAAGGTTCAAATTATGAAGTTAGATGTGCTGTTGCAAAGTTACTTGGTACATTGGTAGCAATGACCCAACTTCCAACACCAAAAGGCAAAAACCCTTCAGGTATCTTGAATAAAATAAATATATTTAATTACTCACAGTTCATACTGTGATATAGTTCATACCACAAAAATACTTATGTTAACTATTATTTTTATATAGTAACTCAAAATAAAAACTGCAAACAAATTTCACTTGATGAGGTATTAAATATTTTAATGTCCGGATTTTTAAGAGGTGGAGTAGGTTTTTTAAAAGGTACTGGAGAAATTATAAAAGGAAATTCTAGTGTAAATCGAGAAGTCAGAGTTGGAGTCACGCATGTAAGAAAAAATACAACAAATAGTATTGCATCTATTTTAGAAAAGTATGTGCTTAATCATCTGCTGATAATTTATAGGCATATGTTGTCTTTGTTCAAATGTTGGGAGGTTCCTGGCTCGAACGTAATATCGGTGCATTAATTGCACATGTACTCGAACTTGTGACAAATCCAAAGGCAGCAAGCTCGCACGTTGATGCTGTCTATTCCAGAAAATGTGTAAACTTTATATTACATGGTACTATTGGTAAATTATTGGGTGAAGGAGCTCAAGCTGCTGCGTGTAAAGAAATAGCACATATTATCTTAAAACAAATGAACTCTATTGGTAACATTAATTTTGTAACTAGTTGCTACAGGAAGGGAATATATATTATAATTATTATTTATTTCAATTTATAGATTTTAGTCCAGAAAATGCCAAGGATTGTAATCAAGAAACTTTATTTAGTCAACATTTACTCGTCTGCGCTTTGCAGGAAATGGGAAATTTGATTCTAGGATTGGGTACAACAGCTTGTAATTTATTATCTGATCAATCTTTAAGTATGTAGTTCATATGTACAATGTCACTTTATAATTTCTGTAGCTGTATTAATTTATACGATTTCTTTCAGGTTTAATTGACACAATTATGGCTGTCTTGATTCATCCGTGTCAAGCAGCTAGACTTGCCGCTTCCTGGTGTTTGCGTTGCATTTGTGTAGCAGTTCCAAGCCAAATAACACCTCTGATTGATCGCTGTGTAGATGGTATCGAAAATATGCGTAGTTCACCGGAAGCAATAGCTGGATATAGTAGTGCTTTAGCTGCAGTTCTTGGTAGTGTTCGTTTGTCACCTCTTGGTGTACCCCACACGAAAGGAAAAGTAATTATTAATTTTTATGTTACTAAAGTAATTTATATGTAGAAATTCATATTTTTATTAAATAAAAATTACTTGTTATATTTTAGATTATTTTCAATACCGCAGAAGAGCTTTTAAGAAGTGCAAGTCAAAATAGTCGTTTATCATTAAACAGGACACATGCCGGATGGCTTTTAATTGGAGCTATAATGACTCTTGGTAAAACATAGATTTAAATTTATAAAGCGTCATACTTATTGTTACAAATACAAGCATAATTTTATAAATAATATAAAAATATGTTTCCAGGTACAGCAGTAGTAAAAGGACTATTACCTAGAATGTTATTATTATGGAGAAATTCTTTCCCTCGGTCAAACAAAGAACTTGAAAGCGAAAAAGCTAGAGGTGATGCGTTCACTTGGCAAGTAACTTTAGAAGGTCGAGCAGGTGCATTATCTGCTATGCACAGTTTTCTACTGCATTGTCCAGAACTTTTAAACGATGACATTACAAGACGACTTCTAACACCAATCGAGTCAGCGTTGGCAATGTTAACGAAGTACGTTACTTTTCGTTTATTTACAACAAATACTTTTAAGATGATGTTCAGTTACATCATAAATCTTTAAAATATTCTTCTAGTTTGTCACCTGTACTAAAAAATTATGGACAACAATTGAAAGCTCCAGCTGCGATGGTTCGTTTACGTTTGTACGAAACATTGTTGTTGTTGCCGCCGCAAACTTTTGAAGGTAATTATAAATACTTTTGGTTTAATTATAATTTTGTTCATAGTATTATTTGTTAATAAAGAAATGATTCCTTAAATTTAACAGGTTCTTACACACATCTCTTAAGAATGTTGGTATCTGAATTTACATTGACTGAAAATCCTGGAAATACTACTACTTCATTATTACGTGCAGTTTGTCATGCTAATGATTCTGTAATTCTTGGTACATGGTTGCAAGAAACTGATCACCGTACAATAGAAGATCAAGTAAGCATTTCATTTATTTAATTTATTTATTATTATAACCTTACTTTAACACTATATTTAATATATTCATGATTCCCGTTTATCTTTCGCGAGATTTACTAATAAACTGTAATTAACTAAAGCAGAGGTATTGTTGAAGGTGTATTTTAACATATACTACATTACTTTAAATTAACACCACTATTTCCACTCATGTCTAGATGGAACCAAACAGAAGGGCAGATTTGGAACATGTGAGTAATGTTCTATGAAGCCTTTCACTTCTTGTTATGCACCAGCATTTAATGTTTTATTTTTCCGTAGAATAATTTGTAAACAAATGTAAAAATAATACCTCCTACCATATTCCTTAATTTTTATTTACATATTTATTTTATAAAAATACAATGTAAAAAGTAATTTATATAAAATAATGACTAATAATGAATTTTACATTAATTGATTGATGGATATGAAGATGTTACGTTCATTTATTTTATGTTGTACATATAATTATTTTATTATTTATAAAATTTATACTGTGATAACAGGAAGCATATTTATTTTGAATAATGAATTTCTTTCAGTTACAGCCAAACAGTGCTGCAGGATCTGGAGCTCTGGAACACAATCCGTGTTGCCTCTACAGACCAGTACCACAAGTACATATTTCGAGATATTATTAAAATTATATTTAAACTTTTACCGAATTTAAACTACACTACCGTCGTTTTTTAGGATGAAATAATTCCTGGTCCTTTACCTTTGGGTGTTGCTGTGATTGATTTGTCTGTGTCATTGTTTGGTCAAATTTTCCCACGCGTGGCAAACAAACATAGATTACAGATGTTAGATCATTTCAGTGAATGTATAAAGCATACAAAATCTGGTAGACAGGAAGCAATTCAGATGAATGTTTTTACAGCTGTGCTAAGTGGGTTAAAAGGTCTTAATGAAGCTAAAACTGGATTTGGTCAAGAAGATGTTAAGAAATCGGCAACCAATTTAATTATTGTAAGAATATTATAACATCGCGATGTCATTTGCATATCTGGGTTTTGATAGATTATTTAATATTGTTATATAAATTGTAGAGTGCTTTAGTAAGCAGCAATTCAATATTAAGGTGGGCAGCTGGAGAAGCTGTTGGAAGAATGGCCCAAGTTATTTCAGATCCAAAATTTACGGCAGAGTTGGCACAAACAAGTTTTGATCGTTTGAAGTCTGCTCGTGATGTTGCTAGTAGAACTGGTCATTCTTTAGCGTTAGGATGCCTCCATAAATACGTAGGTGGAATGGGATCTAGTCAACATCTAAACACAAGTGTCAGTATCCTACTTGCTCTTGCACAAGATAATTCGTCTCCTGTAGTACAAGTAAGTTTATATAAAAAGAACGTTGTTGTTTCTTTAGATAGAAACATTAATTTTACAACTCTCGGTAGGTATGGGCATTACATGCTCTTGCACTGATTGCTGATTCTGGTGGACCAATGTTTCGAGGCTATGTTGAACCTACATTATCATTAGCATTAACTCTTCTACTCAATGTTCCTCATTCTTATATCGATGTACATCAATGTATAGGAAAAGTATTATCAGCTCTTATTACAACTATAGGACCAGAATTACAAGGTTAATGGTTTAATCAACGTATACCATACTTATTGACTACAGTAGCAATTGAATCAAGAATAAGAAGCTCGACAACTTTAATACTATTGTATATCAATTATTTATACCTTTAGGTAACACTTCGACAATTTGTATGGCACGATCATCATTCTTATGTGCCTGTGCTATCATGCAAGATCATCAGGATCCTCTAGTACAAGCAGAAGCCACAGGATGTCTCCAACAGTTACATTTATTTGCACCTAGACACGTTAATTTGTCTTCTCTTGTTCCTACATTATGCGTAAGATTTATATTGTATAATTTTATAGATGTTAATATTAACTGCATTAATATTATCTTATATTTATAGCGAACATTATCAAGCAATCATTTGCTTTTACGTAAAGCCGCCATATCTTGTCTTCGACAACTTGCTCAACGAGAAGCAAAAGAGGTGTGCGAACATGCGATGACATTGGCTAATGAAAGTCGAGATACGAATGTGGTAGAGGGTCTTGTTATAACAGAAACTGGGCTTCCAGGCGTCTTATTTAGTATGCTAGATACCGAAACTGATAGCAAGTTAATTAAAGATATTCATGATACATTAACCAGTATGCTGCAGATTTTAGCAGCAGATAATTTATCTCAATGGTTATCTTTGTGTAAAGATGTTCTTACAATAGCTTCAGGTATGGTGATGTTATATCGTCACGAAAGTTGCGTGAGTTTCAAGTGAAGCAAACACTAATCAAAATGTAATCCTTTACTATGTACAGAAACATGTAATAACGAAGAAGGTAATACCATCAACGTTGAAGATGGTACTGCGGATAATGATAATACCGATACAGAAGGAGACGATGATCAAGCTGAATTTCATGCTGATGAATCTTCTAAACAACGAGCAACAATCACACCGCGATGGCCAACTAGAGTTTTTGCAGCACAGTGTGTTAGAAGGATTGTAGCTGCTTGTGTAAATAATAAACAAACACATTTCGATCTTTCTTTAGCAAAGGAGATGCTGATTACTAAAGGAAAAAGTATGATTGCTTTAAATTATTTTTTACATATTCAAAATTTATTTCTTATTACGTTTTATTAATTTTAGATGATTTCCTGGTATTGCATCTTTCCGACTTAGTACGAATGGCATTTATGGCCGCGACGAGTGATTGTGATCCTTTACGACTTGAAGGTTTAAAGACATTACAAGAAATTATTGATAAGTTTGCCAAAGTTCCTGAACCAGAATTTCCTGGACATCTGTTACTCGAGCAGTTCCAAGCACAAGTAATTAATATATTTTAATCGTACGATATTAAAAATATTTTATGAAATTTTTATATCATTATTTTGTTTATAGGTCGGAGCTGCACTGAGGCCTGCATTTGCCGCAGAAACAGCATCGCATGTTACAGCTGCAGCTTGTGAAGCTTGCAGTGCTTGGATTGGAAGTGGGGTTGCTAGAGATCTTAATGATCTTCGTAGAGTACATCAACTTCTTGTATCTTCTTTAGAAAAATTAAGAGAAGGACATACAAGGCCGCAACTGTATAATGAAAGTTTGTTAACGCTTGAAAGATTAGCAATTTTGAAAGCTTGGGCAGAAGTAAGAAAAATATGTAACAACAAAAATCATTCCTATGCCTCTGGTAATAGATTTTTAATTAACTTCTTTTTTCTTCAGGTATATGTAGTTGCCATGATTAAAGATGGTTCTGCGTTAAATAGTAAAGAAACATTCAATCAAAGCCCAACCCAAATCGAAGAGGGAAACGTCGAAGATTTTGGACAATTTGAATTCCAAACTGAAAGTTTGTTGAGTTTAGTGCAACCAGAATTGCTCAGTTTAAGTCAGTACTGGTTAGCTGCTCTGAGAGATCATGCATTACTTTCGTTACCACCAGGTTTAGTTAATTTTCCCTACTTTATTTTTTTTAAGTCACACATATAGTCTACTTGTATTGACAAACTAATCTTATATTAATAGAATTTTCCAGTCAATTACCACACGACGGAGGTGCTTTCTACACAACAGATACGATGGAATCTGCTCGACCTCATTATGCAGAATCGTGGGCACCAATTTTGCATGCTGCAACACTCTGGCTTAATGCAAAAGGATTTGGGTTAGAAGAAACTACCAATGAAGTACAATTATCAAATACGTCGAATAATAATAATAATAATAATAATAGTGACGTCTCTACTAAAACTAATACTAATGTTGAACGTTTCCACTTATTATTTGGTAAATATGTTTTATAAATTACTCTTATTAGATACAATGCATATAAATACTAATAACATTTTGTATTATTTTGTTATCGGTTGTTTTAGGTATATGTATGGAGGCTTTATGCAGCCCACGAGCTTCAGAATCTACTCAAAACATTGAAACATGTTTAAATGCTTTATATACTTTGTTAGATTCTTCTTGGGCACGTAAAGTTTTGATGACAGATCGTTCATTACCAATTGAATTGTGTAACGTTCTTCACAGGTATGTTATCTATTAGATAAATGTACATATATAATAAATACAACAACCTTTTTTATATGTATTTTTTGGTATAGGATGCTTTTAACCAGAGAAAGTTATGTAATTCAGATGATAGTAATGGAAGTTTTAAAACAAGTAATGAAAGCAGCACAGGAAAATTTAGCTGAGAGAAAGAAAGCCAAACTAAAAGGTTAATATATAACAGTTATTTAAAATAATATATTACACGAGCTTAGTAAATGAGTATATCTTGTATTATGATAGAAATAGTACCAGCGCACGAAGAAAGTAATGAAACCCAGGAAGTAGATCTGCTGGGAGAAGGAGAAGACAGTGGCGAGCTTGTTCCGGGCAAATCATTAGTATTTGCTATTTTGGAAGTATGTTTGTGTCTTTTGGTTCGACAAATTCCAGCATTGAATCCTAATCCTGGTGGAACAACAGCAATTTTATCTCAGAAAGGATATATACCATCTGAGGAAAGTGGGAAACTTATAGCAGCTGCACTCAATACAATGGAGTCTCTTCCTACTTTATGCTCCCCTCAGGGTAAATTTCCTTTTTCTATTGAAATATTTGAATATTTAAAGCAAGGTTTAATTTATGGTTTTGTTTTTTAGGAGCAATAGCAATTTTACCAACTTTGCTGTATTTGGCAACTGGAGTAATTAAAGAAACTGCAATACGCACCGACAATGAATGCAACAAAATATCATCAGATGCACCAGTGCATGCGGCTTTGCATTGTATAAAAAGTCTTAGTATAAATAAATTTGCAAAAGATCATAGAAGTCAGGAACAATGGACAAGTCTTTTACAAAGCGCTCTTGCTAAAATCATTGATCTGGCTAAAACAGGTATTTAACGTCAAATTTACATAGTAGTATAATATTATTTAATTGATAAGTTTATTTTCAAAAATGTATTTCTAGGAAATGACGAAACGAAAATGGACGAAGTAACAATGATGTTAGCTATTGCAGTGTTTGTTCTTCATGCTACACAAGAAGTTGTAAGTGCACCGAATCTTCAGTTCCCATGTATCAATCATTTTCGACATGCTTTCCAATCAGAAAATATAATGGTAAGTTTAACATTGTGAAAATATAATAAGTTTTTTATACAGTATTTATAACTCGCAGTATTCATGTTTCAATTTATAGGTCAAATTAAAATGTGTTCAAACATTAAGAACAATATTTTTACATCCGGAACGCGTAATAAGTACTCCTTATATTCATGCATTAGCTCCGAGATTAGTCGAATATCTGTACAGTGACAAAAGCAAACAAGTTACAAATGATTTAGAGTTATCTTTTACTTTGGAATGTGTCAGCACTGTTGAAGCTCTCATTGGACTTGCGGATCTTTCAAACCGTATGTACAAATTCCTATTACTTCATTATTTCATTCATTCGTCCCTAAAAGTTCATAAACATTAGATGACAAATTTTTTGATAAAGAATATGTTACATGCAATTCAGGAGACCTTTTACAAGGTGTGTAAAAAATGAAACTCTAAATAGTAAAATGTTTCAACTTTTATTATTATACATGTACGTTACTTTCTTAATGTAGCTATATCCTAATGTTTTCTTTATAATTATTAGGCATACAGATGTTAACTCTACTCGTGCCAATCCTAATCAATTATTTATTGGAAGGAGAACAACTTCAGCATGCTTCTAAATATCAATTAAGTCTCCATCAACAGAGTTTTCAATGGCTGAATAAAATAGGACCAAAATATCCTCAGGTATGCTGTTTGTGTAATTTTGGGGCTTTAAATAAATTTTCAAATGTTTTCTTCGATTTCAGGAATTTAAAACGTTAATGTCACAGTCTACAGAATTGAAAACCAAATTAGAAAATGCTGTTAGATCTACTCATCAACAAGCACAAAGACATAACCGACCAGTAGATTTAGTAAAACCACAAATTAAGATCTCTACACCATCTATCAAGCTAAAAACAGATTTTTCAAACTTCAATTAAATGCTTTAGTAGCATTTCTTAACATGTTATACACTTGTTTAGATATTATGTTAATTATGACTCGAGTATTATACGAACAGCGAAATTTTTAAATTTAACGATGTAGTTATATGTGTTTCAGTATAGTTACAAAAACATTTTGGAAAAGTAAAATATAACAAAACTTATCTGAACAGTGTATAATGTGTTAAAAATAGTGCTTTTAATAACGTAAATGACTAATAGCATGTAACTATTGTATTAGTCCATTAATTGACCATCATAAGTGATAATCTGTGGTACAGATGTAACTCAATATTATGTAAGATAAAATATTTTAATTATAAAAATCTTTACTTCCATAAGAATTTCATTGATGATGATATTCATTGATTAGTACTTATTTACTAGCACTCATTAATATTTCAGTAGAAATTGGATTTAAGCTTACTAATAGTAAGAAAGTTGATATTGACAAAATATCCAGAATATCTATTTTTCTGTGAGAGCATTTACATTTTGAATTAAGAAAATTATTTATTCATTTTTTAACGATTTCTAACTTTAGTAGGAAAATGTTATATAAAGTAAAAAATTGTATATTAAAATTATATATTCATATTTATATTTATTTGAAGATGTAAAATTGTATTTTTTAGATATCATTAACAGGTCTCTTCATTTTATTTTTTTTATTTCTTCATTTATGTAACAACTACCTTTACACTAAAGCACAATATAAATACATAAGGACAAAAAATGAAAAATACAAGTATTTTATATTTCGTAAAATTGCATAAATTATTTTACACACTGTTAACAATATGCAAAGTATAATGTTCTGTTATTAATAAAGTAAAACTTGTAATATTAAATCACAGTTCATTTAACATGTCTTGTATTTTTCAAAATTAATTTTAGTATATCTTTAAAACTGTGTGAAAATCCTATATAATAAATACAATTTATTGATTTAGATTATAATAAGAAATGTAGTTTATAGAATGTAACTTAATATTAGTAACAAATGCAAATAATTAATTATAAGTAAAGTAACATAAACTTTATTTTCACATTTAATAGGAAATGTTTATTTAATTGAAAATATTAAATTTAGATTATAGTTCTATTATATTCTTTTCGAGATTTATTTTTCTATACTAGTTCTTACCGTAATATTATGTTCATTAAAATTTTAGAATTATTTATGCTTTACTCTTTTAAAATTTGATTTTACTGTAACTTTATAATAATATCTAAGGTAACATTCAGCATTTTTATGTATATTAAATATAATATTAATATATATTAAGAATGTACTAAATGTTAGAAAATATTAAAATATTCTTCATGAGTATGTAGACTATTGCAATAAAATATACATATTATAGTTACACCCTATTGCTACATTGTTTCTTTATATGTTTTCATTATCAATTCAAATCTATGGACCTAGCAAAAGCTTCACCTAACTATGGTGGTGGCGCTATGATATAAAAGTCATAGATTATGAGTACAAACAATATCGTTCAGCTCCATCCATATATTTATCCATATATATCCTGAAGTCTTGGCGGAATGAGCCGAGTTGTGGCCTATAAATAAAAACCTATAAACCTATCCATGAAGCCTTCTCAGTAATTTTGTGTCGTCTTCCCCTATATTCATAGGGTTTACAAACGAAGAGCCATCTGAACTTATCTGAGATACTAAAAAAATAAAATTCAATTTTCAATTATTTTTATTCTGCTTATCTAATGATAGAGTTCGATTATTTTGATATAATATCTTTGATTTAATCGTGTAATTTATAACAATTTGTAATTTAATTTGAATTCCTTAAATATAGAATTGTCATGTGATTTATTCTTTGAAGCTGTTGTTTTCTGCAACAGAGGTTATGCGTTTTGCCGCAATTAAAGAGAGGTTACAAAGTGGTTGACAACATCAATATTTTTAGAACCATATTCAAAAGCTGTGTTAAAAAATCTATCTGCCGCAATTATGAAAGATTTAAGTAGATTTATGTATATAATTGTTTATATTATTTCTCTGGGTTTAATTGCTAATTGCGAGGATGAAAACTATTTTGAAGATACGTTGTATGTATATTCGTGATATATAATTAATATTAAAATTAAGTTGAATATTTTTCATAACATTTGTATGTAAATCATGAATAATTATTTACAGGGACCCTAACGAATTAGTAGATCCACATTCATTCTTTTATGACAAACAAACTAAATCGATGATTAAAGAATCAGAGATGCAATCGTATGTATTAAGTGCAATTTATGTATCATTTATGTACCATATCTTATGATTGTATCTTTTTTTTAAGCAGTAACAACTAATTTTTTTAGGACTGTTGATTCTAAAGCACATACTAATGATATTGATGCAAGCATTAAACCATTAAAGAAATTAGTTAATCACAGTAGCCATGAAGGAGTATTTTATAAACGTCTTATCAATTTATTGCTAGCAAATATTAACATACAGGTATTAATATTATTTGGAATAGTATTTGAAAGCTTTATGCATGAGAAATGAATCTATTTAAATGACTGAAAAATAGGTAAAAGATGAAGTATCAATAATAGGAATATTGGAAATTGAAATAACTCATTCCCAAATGGAAATACTGCAAAATTTTCACACACAGAAGACATCTCTGAGAGAAGTTGATGAAATTTTGAGTAACATTATAAAGAAACCTCGGGTTAATTACTTATCTGGAGTTATGTATGTTTATGATGTCATGTTACAAAAGTTTGACATTATATTTAGAATATTACAACAACATGTAAGAAAATTTACCTATAAATTGTTTCTTTTTATTGTTTATAAGAATTCTATAGTTTTGATTATCCATTGTTACAGCCTGATGGTGCTATGATTGTGTTCGCAGTCTTAATGATTTCGTTAACATTTAAATTATTAAGCAGAAGACAGGGATTCCCCATGTTCCTTTTCATACAATTCATATTTATATTAAGTTTCTTCATGACTTGGTGGCAACTTATACAGGTATACTGTATTAACTAATTAATGTTTTTAATGTATATTGCTGGTTTTAATTAACTATTTATTATACTTTCTAACAGGAGGCTGAAGTCAAATTTGCTGCAGAACAAATGAAATTTACAGACATACCAGTTTCATGTCAACCAAATAAAATGAATATGTGGGATAAATTTGTGTCACTTTTATCTCGTTAGTACATTATTCTAAAATATATTATAGTATATTGTATTAACAAACTTGTTTCATATATACTCTTTGCAGGTAACGAAGATTGTGAAAAGTATTACCAAGCAAAAATGTCTAATCCAAAATTAAAAATTACACCTGCATTTGCATTATCACATTTTATCACTACTGTTGTTCTTCACCCAGTTACACATGTGGGAACAGTTATATCTCAGTTTATAAGTAATGCGACAGGTACTAAAGCAAGGTTTATTATGTAATGAGAATATTAAAAAAAATTAAATACTCTTATCATATCTTTGTATTTTGTTTCAGATGATGTCTTTTTCACGTATGCATGGCTTATCAAATGTATACTTTTCGCATGTGTAGGGATTGCTATAATATTCATACCCTTCTGTTTATCGGGTGCGTCTATTGATTTCGGTCTAGGACCGCTTCTGAGATTTGGAATTAGTCATAAAAAATCTGAAAAAGGTAATTCAATAAAAAATGTAGAAAAACGAGATCCCGTACAAATAATTCTACAGGTAATGTAAAACACATTTAATTTTGAGTTTAGCGGTTTCCAATATCATTTAATTTACTCCTTGTTAGTATATTTATAGATAATCACGTTAAAGTAAAGAAATTAAAAATTATTTTAGGTACCCGATGGTATCAATCCACCAAGAATAAAAGACAAATCAGATACTGAACAGTTAAAAGTTGTAAAAATGATAAAGAATGATTATGAGGAAAGTAATAGTGATAAAGAAGATTGTTTTGAAGAACTTAATGAAGATTTATCTTGCGGCGACACAGTGAAAAATACTCAGCTCTCAGAAAGGGATAATAAAAAGACCAAAACTCGTAAAGAACTTAAAGCAACGATAGAGAAAAATGATGGAGGGGGAGATAGTTAATATTCTTTATGCCATGACATTTTTGTTACTTATATTTCGTTAATGCATCATGTGTATAATACATGTAATTGTGATATAACAAAACCTCTACCTTAAGTATTTATCTTAATGTAACCTTAATCGCTTATTTTATTATTATTTCAATTACTGCGATTTAGTAATATTGCGACTTGTCCAGCAATTTATTTCATTATCGTCTAGTATTATTTAACAGAAACGCTTTTTCTTACGCTTTATACATTAATGTAATATAAGAATATCTGTTCTGCGCGATTAAACATATGAAGTTGTAATTTTAACATTGAAATACATATATTCTTATGAAGTTGTTCTATTAATCTGTTTAATATACTTGTATTTCATACTTTGAGATTGTATGACTTTAGAATTCTTGAATTTTGTAATTTTAATAAGAATCATTTTACCAATGCGGTATTGTACTCAGATCACAACGAAGAGAGAGAAATCCGATCGTGTTTCAGCATCTCTGACGAATTGCGGTTGGTCGAATAAAGAAAAAAAGTCGATGGAGTTGGGCAAGCAAAATATTTAGAATGGTTCGATCGAACGGAACAGCGGTACAAGAAGTTTTTCAAATTGTTCACAGGTCCATAAACGGCAGGCGTGTTTCTAGTTGAAAAGGAAGGATACCTATTTAGGGTATGGAGGTTGGGTTCAGGATCATAGGTGCATTACATGCTCGAGATGATGCGTAAAAGAGGCGATGGCGGTATACGTACCGACATACTCAACCCTTAGTTCTGCTTCCGCAAACCACCGTCGTTTCTCCATTCTCCATCGTACTTGTCCCAGAAATTTTGCCTGTTTTGTATACTCGTTCAATGATGCAAAACATGAATTTAAACGTCCAATTATCTTGCGCTGCATTTAAAATTTTAATTCGGCAGTTTTTTACGGTACTGTATAATTAAATAAATTATTCATAAGTTGGATTTAAATAGTTGATGGATTTATTCTAAATTGGATTTAAATTAAATGGATTTAATTGATACAATAAAACGGCCCTATATTCAGGTCATTTTATTTAGTATCTTAAATAATTTGCCTATTTTTTTTATTCATAAATGTAGCTATTTGAGTACTGGGTTCATGCAAAAATAATTACTTCGTTACTTTAAACGATACTTATTTTTGATTAAACTTTTAAATCACTATTAACGTAGGTATTATTTTCCTTTGAGAGCATTAAACTCTAGAGAGTGTTTCATTTAAACGAATTCAGATATCTTATAAAATATTAGAAATATAAAATATCTTTCAAAATCTAAATTTTCTAAACTACTTATTTTTCGTTGTATACGATTTCATTTAGAAAAATGTACTTGATCTTCACACCCTCTACACACATCCACACAAGAAAAAGTTACGTTTAGGAAATAATTTGTTCTCTGAAATCATATCACTTACGTAAAACCTTTCTTATGTTCTTGATATATAAACGGAATCCTGTACAGTTCGCAAACCTTCGAAGACTTCACTGTACTCTGTTGCACATCACGGGTTAATCCGTTTCTGTGATGGCTAAAGCAACCAGCCATGGTGTATGCACTAAGGAGCATCGAGGCGGCTATCGAAATGATGAACCTATCTCATTTCAAAGTGCCTTACTTGCGGCTGGTTGCATCTAAAACGAGCTAGGGTCCGATCACGTGCACGTGTAATCGAGCTTTTCACCTGAAATCCAAACGCCCTTTTTTTGCATCTGCTCTATTGATGTAGGCCGCAGTTTATACGGTGGTGAGTCGCCAAAAAATTCGAAGAAGTTCTATTGCTAGAGGTCCTGTACGCGTCGTGATCGTGATCTTCAAGTTCCACAACCACCAAGAGTCCCACAAAAGATTCCTCTTCGTTACGCACGAATAAGATCGTTGAATCGTTCATCGATCGAGGTTGGTTCACGTAAAAATAGTTGGTGGTCGGTTGGGTTTCGTGCGTAATACGGTGCAATCTTGTTACAAGGTCTGTTTACGTGGACCGTCGACATCGCTATAAAAATTTACGGACATCATCGTACTTTTTTAACCTGGCGACATATAAGATGTAAAAATTCTTTTAAATTTTTCAATTTCCAAACTCGATTTACAGAATTCTTTACTAAATAATTTTACTGTATGTCGAAGTTGTAAAATGACATAAATTTTAATTTGTTCGAAACTCAGGAGTCTCAATTGTGTATTGATGTGGAACAGATGTATTTTGAATAAAAAAATTAATTTTGGTAAAATAATTTCTTTCTATTTAAAAAGTTCCGTCATATTTCCGACGTACTGTGTACGCGTCCTAAAATCTTACATTCCAATTAAAGCTGCTCTAATTGATTAACGAAATTTGGAGTAACGTTCTGCTGAAAATAACAAAGAAAATAATAGTAGAACGTTAGTTTAAGAGCGCTATAATTTCCGATCGTGAAATATCTCGATCGGAAGGTGGTTTCCAGCCACCGTTCCATCACTGTCGCTGGGACAAAGTATTTTAACGGGCAGTCGTTAGCATGCTAATAAACGGTGGCCTCGCATAATCTACGCAAAGAACAGGGCAAACGAATGGGAAGAAATATGACAAGACGGCCAAGCCGATGTATGCCGCCCGGGGCGATCCGTGGCGATTAATTATCGCGGCCGGACTTGTCACGGCCGATGAGAAATCATTAATTTCTTCTTGAAATTTTAGCGTTCGTACAGCGTACGCTTCGCAGCCCACCATGGCCGACGCGTACGCGACGGGGAAGCGCGAGATTCCATGGTGGATATTAGGTTCAGGTAATTACAGCCATTAGTTCGCGCATACATCAATTATCGATGACACGATGACATGAGTCTGCCGCTCGGAGGCATCCCTCACGATGGGAATGCTTGTGCTCTCTCTAGGTATACATCATCTCTATAGAATCGCTTTTCACTCCGTATATCTGCCCTCTTGTTCCAATAATTCGACAACTCGATTCAAACGAACAGACAACTCAACTCGCGCGAATATCCAGTTACTTACGTCACGAACAACATAATTTTCAAGGTGAATTTCTGAAGGAGCTGCAACGAGACTATTAGCCCTAAATTTAATTCCTACAATATAAGACCATAGTTGGTGCTGATCAAATTATAGACACTTTCCCTTTTACCAGACTAATTGTATTTTTCATTAATTATTTATGAAACAGTTTATCTAGAATTTCAAAATAAATAAAAACACATGAAAATAATAGAAATTATGCATACGTTCTTATCAGCTGATACAGCCTTGTTTGAATGATTATATTTTTTAATAGTTGCTCATGTTTGTACTTTTTGCTGATAACAATTATGAACCACTAAATCATCTAGCCATCCTTAAGAGAATCCGACAGTTCATCGGTCCACGTTGATCAAGGTTCCCCTGCTCGTTTTATTTGAATGTCACAGTGCTCGTTCATCCAGAAAAGAAAAAAAAAATACAAGTTAGCTCCATCAGTTTCTCGGCTAAGTCCCAAGATCGACCGAATCCGATGAAAAGCTCATTAGTCGTAAGAATTAGAGACGCGTAACTAAAACACATCTAACGACGGTTGGCCCCCTTTTCTGTATCGAGTCATTAAGAACCAATTTCGGCGGCTTCTATTAATCATGTCGGATTCGAGCGGTGCTTTACGATGATATCTGTGTGACCGCGTTATTGGTCGATCCACGTCGCTTTCAAAAACACATTATTCCAACCTCGGATCCGGCAGCTTCCAGAATGTGCCGCTCTCTATTCGACACTTTTATCGTACCCTCGGAACTTTGCCAATTACTCGACAGTCCGGGAGTATCTGCGGTAAAAATTGTATTTGCATACGAAAAGTTGGACTCGGTACTCTGCTACTGATGAAAGAGAAGATGTTGGTTATGTTTTATTACGTTTATGGGATGAGTTGAGGGTGAGTTGAAAATTTGGGGAATTGGGGAATTTTGGATTTGGGAGATTTGGGATTTGGGGGATTTGGGATTTGGGATTTGGGATTTGGGATTTGGAGGATTTGGGATTTGAGGGATTTGGGTGATTTGGGTGATTTGGGTGATTTGGGTGATTTGGGATTTGGGATTTGGGATTTGGGGGATTTGGGATTTGGGGGATTTGGGATTTGGGGGATTTGGGATTTGGGGGATTTGGGATTTGGGGGATTTGGGATTTGGGGGATTTGGGATTTGGGGGATTTGGGATTTGGGGGATTTGGGATTTGGGGGATTTGGGATTTGGGGGATTTGGGATTTGGGGGATTTGGGATTTGGGGGATTTGGGATTTGGGGGATTTGGGATTTGGGGGATTTGGGATTTGGGGGATTTGGGATTTGGGGGATTTGGGATTTGGGGGATTTGGGATTTGGGGGATTTGGGATTTGGGGGATTTGGGATTTGGGGGATTTGGGATTTGGGGGATTTGGGATTTGGGGGATTTGGGATTTGGGGGATTTGGGATTTGGGGGATTTGGGATTTGGGGGATTTGGGATTTGGGGGATTTGGGATTTGGGGGATTTGGGATTTGGGGGATTTGGGATTTGGGGGATTTGGGATTTGGGGGATTTGGGATTTGGGGGATTTGGGATTTGGGGGATTTGGGATTTGGGGGATTTGGGATTTGGGGGATTTGGGATTTGGGGGATTTGGGATTTGGGGGATTTGGGATTTGGGGGATTTGGGATTTGGGGGATTTGGGATTTGGGGGATTTGGGATTTGGGGGATTTGGGATTTGGGGGATTTGGGATTTGGGGGATTTGGGATTTGGGGGATTTGGGATTTCGGAGATTTGGGAATTGGGGGAATTGGGGAAATTGGAATTTGGGGAATTGGGGAAATTTGGAATTGGGGAAACTGAAAATTGGGAAATTAGGAATTGGAAAATTGGGAAATTGAGAATTTGGGACATTGGAACTTTGGAACTTTGGAACTTTGGTACTTTGGGATTTTGGAAATTTGGGAATTTGGGAATTTGGGGAATTTAGCTACCCCTATTCCAGGGACCTAAACTAGTTGTGAGAAGCACTGTACATTAGTAAAAGTAGTAGTAGTAAGAAGTTTCAAAGTTGATCTGATAAAATACCTTCGAGTGTAAAGAATATAATATCAATCCTGTATTTAAATATTACGTACAATATATTTTTCAATGCCGTCTACATTTTTTTAATAC